GACAGGATTGACCTGAGTCAACCTCCGTTGGAAATCCTATTCGATCCTCTACAACTTCTATGGAGGATTTGGAGGCTGAATCGCACCGGAAGACCTTCTTTTGGACCCATACATTTCATATCGACCTGCATATCGGGCAGGTTTCTCTCAGCTTTGGTCGACACAGGACTTTGGTGCAGCCTAAAACCCGCCATCTTGGCCATTATTCTTGGTTCTTCATATCCACATCTTCCAGCATTCTCCAAGTGTCCTCCATAGCTCTATTTAGACCTGAAAAAGACTACAAACAATGCAAAACATGTAATGTCTAGCCTAAAACCTAACATGTCTAAGATTAATGCAAAAGTGAACAAAACATGATGAATGAATGTATGAAAAGAAACAAAACCTAAAATAAATCATGCTAAAACAATGTAAATTATGAGGTTATCATATGTGCTTAGCACTAGGTTAGCCTTGATCAAGCTTGCTTAGTATCTAGCTTTCTCTTATGCCTGCAAAGTATTTGATGAAATGCTGATTAGTCACTTAGAGGATTTATCTATTCTAGCCTAAGGGATTAGCTGTCTAGAAGGTATCTTGGCTAAATAGAATTGGTTTTGCTTGATTGTTAGAATCCTAATCAATAATGCAAATTAGTTCTTGGTTAGGTTGTTAGCAAAGGGGTTTTAACCAAGGGATTGGGTTACTCTATTGTATTTGAATTCTATGCCCAGGAAATAGCATTGTTATATGATTTGTGAAGCATCAGTACTCTATTCTAATCCCCTCCACATCAATAACTCCATCTTGAGTCATGCTTTTATCTATTTGATTATGATATTTTGAATTTGTCTTTGTTTAGCCTTGATTATTTTGATTGCTTGAGTTTGAACACCAATTGTCTTTGATTTGGTTTAACTAAAGCAAGCTATTGCATCCTTAGTGTCTTAACTTTCCCATTATGGATTGATATATCAAATGATACAATAACATGAACGTGGGTTTGAGTGATTGAAGTAGCAAAACAGCTACTTCAATTTGGCGTTGTTGCCATTTGGGATTTTTTAAGCATTATGATTTGTAGATTGCTTAAGATTAAGCTGTTATTTTCTGTTTGGTTACTGATTTGCAAACTTGTTCTATCTCTCTTGTAGGTGCATGAACTTGAGGTCTAGAGGAAACCAGAATTTGCTGGACTATCAAGACAACATTCTACAAATTGAGAGAGGTTAGAGAGTAAGAAGGGAAAGGGAAAGACTTGAGAGGTTCCATAGGCTCAAATGGATCAGCATGGTGTTGATGATGTTAGACACCAAGGTCCTCAGGGTGAGCAAGGCGCTCAAGGTGTACAAGGCCAACAAGGGCCTCAAGGAGCTCAAGGTGTCCAAGGTGTTCAAGGAGCAAGAGGTCCTGCTCATCCTCCAAGACCTATAAGACAGATTGTTGCAGGAGATGCTCCCAACGCACACAACAACAAACATGGCATTCAGTCTCCTACTGTGCACAAAGACAACTTTGAGATAAAGAGTAGTCTTATTGATAGCTTGCATTATTGCATCAAATTAGACCTCATTTAATGTAGCTTTCATGTCATTTCATCATCTAGATTGTCCAAAGTATCTTTCATTCATCCCAATTAGACTTAGCTTGCATTTAGGATAGGATTTGCATACATCTTTGCACTTCACTTGTGTTTACATGTCTTTGGAGAGCTTAAGGGATATTAGGAGAAAGGCAGACCAGAAGGAGATGGGAGGCTAAGCCAAGAAGAGACGTTCAGGAACTAAGGGGTCTATACCGACCAGCCATACCGTGGAGAACAACTATGGCTCTCCATGGTATGATCCATACCTTCGAAAAACTGTTTGTACACCAATGTGTTCCCTCAGAGGCGATTTGCACCGAGGAAGGCCCAATCATACACCGATCAGTCTCATCGGTGCACCCATACCGACCAAAGCGCGTCCGTACGCTGACGAGTATGATCGGCATGAGGAGCTTCACGGCATATCGCCGAAGTGCACCGAGGAGAATCACCCATGTCCTGCCCGGTACTTCCTGAACCATGCGCCACCCGAAGAACTTCGCCAAGCCAGAACTTGTAGGACGTGCCCCAGTCCATATTGAGGAGCCGCACCGACGAGAACCATTGACGTTCGACTTGGTATAGACTCGCCCGAGAGTTAACATTTTTGTTGACTTTGTCATTTTATCTCTTTCCCTATGAATAGCCTTAGCCTAAAACCATTTGGGTTATCCAAGTTTTATTGAGTTCTAAACAGAAAACTCTCTCTTTTGTAATCTTTTAAGAATCTTGTTGATCTTTGATCGTTATAGTTAAGTTTTGCATTTGCCTTTGTTTGTTTATCATCATCTAATCATGCTTAGTCATATTATTATGGTTCTAAGTATGGCTAGTGAGTAGTTTCATTAGGTTTTGAGATGGGGTAATTAGGTGATTAGATGATTGATTTAGGATGTCTTGCTCTTGATTCTTCCATTTCCTTGCTTAATTAATGTTATTAAAGCTTGATTGGCCTTGGGAAATGTAATCTTCATCATATGATTTTTGTTGCATTGGAAGCGTTTGATGAAATTCCTGAGAGAGTTAATTAAGTGTTTTGCATTCTTAGCCTAAGGGATTAGTTATCTTAGGTGCTTATTATGCTTTGTAAGACTGAATCTTAATGCTTTAGTGAAGAGATTATTGCCAAGGGATTGGATTAATCTTGTTTTGATGTTCTTTGCATAAGGATTTGCATGTTAATGTTGTTTGAAGCACCATAAATCACCATTGAAATCACCCTACTGCTTGTCCCATCTTGAGACCAATGTCACATATTGCTATTTAAGTTTCCCCTTGATCTGTTTTGCTGTTCTGTTCTTGCATTCAATTGAGTTTAAGTCTCTTGCTTAAGTTTGCTTCCTTGTTCTTATGTTTGCACTTGTTAGTTTGATGAGTGTTAGCACTTTTAAACCCCAATTCTGGGCATAGGTAAACAGTATTATGCTTCTTCTCTATGCTATCCCCATGAAGGTTTGATAACCTCTTGTGCTGCAATGGCATGATTTCAGACTTGAAGAATTGAGTTACAAGAGTGTAAAAAACTCTTGTATCACTTATCTCAATGGTACAAGGAAGAAAATTTCATGGGATGCCAGTTAAGGATCCATTTGATCACCTTGATCAATTTGATAGATTGTGCTCATTCACAAAGATCAATGGAGTTAGTGAAGATGAGTTCAAATTAAGGCTTTTCCCATTTTTTTTGGGTGACAAAGCCTAACAATAGGAGAAGAATCTGCCTCAAGGGAGCATCACTAGCTGAGATCAATGTAAGAAAGCCTTCCTAGCAAAGTTCTTCAGCAACTCCAGAACAGCAAGACACAAAAATAAGATCTCAAGCTTTCCATAACAGAGCAATGAGACATCTGGAGAGGCTTGAGAGAGGTTCAATGGATACACTCTACAATGTCCACATCATAACTTCTCTAATGAATCCCTGCTGTCTACACTCTATCGAGGCACCTTACCCAAAATCAGGTAACAAAAAGTGATGTTAATATTTGCATCATTTACTTCAAATGATGTTATTTTTGCTTCAAATGATATTAAATTTTGTTACAATTATTATAACTGATGTTAAATATTTATATCATTTTTAAATTTATATAATGATTATATCAGATGTTAAAATATATAGATATATATATTATATTAATTTTTATATATATATTTAATAGTAGTATTATTTTCTGAAAATTTATACATCATATTAATAATGTTTTTATAAAAACATTATCAAAATAATTTTATTGACTAAAAAAAAAAATGACCTTATTGGTTAAAATTTAAAACCAAAAAGAAAACTAATTTTATTGGTTAAAACCCAAAAACAAATTAATTGACCACCAAATTTGAATATTAGATATTTAAGTTTCAATATATATGGGCATGTCTTCTCTTTCACCTTTTCACCAATTAACAAAATAAACAAAGTTAGATACATCAATTATTATAATTGATGCAAGTTTTATATCATTTTTCTAAATGATGTTAACAAAAATTATCAATTATATCGATTATTTAGTTTATCTAAATTCATAATTTTGTATCAGTATTGTTAAAATGATGCAAACTAATATAAGTTTGTATAAGTTTTATTGAATTGATATCAAAATAGTGAAAACAATATCATTTATCACAATTGATGTTAAACCATTGTTTTATATTATTTATCAATAACTAATTCAAAATAATATCATTTAACGTTGTGATGCTATTTAAATGATGTAATAAACCTCTTTTTTGGTAGTGGCTGCTATTTTGAGATTTACAAAATGGCATGAAGTTTAAAAACCCACAAATAACTTAGCTCAAAAAGGAGAAAATCGATTTAGGGGAAAAAAATAATGATTGTCGAGAAGGGGGAAAACAGATTGAAAGAGGGGGAGTTGTCAAAAATGACTTGGGAGAGAGAGACTGCATCGAAATAGAGGAGCTTGATGCTTCTCGATCTGGGTTTTATGTGAAGAGAAATTAATATTGGCGAAAATGGGTGAAGATGAACGATGGGCTTCGATCTGTTCTTCAACACTGACAGCTACTGGGCTCGCGATGGATCTTATCCTGGATGGGATCCCCATGAAGGTGGAACACACGTTGGTGAAGGATTTAATGTGAAGAAGGTGTTGATGCTGTTGGTTGATTTTATCGGTTATGCAGACAACATGAGCATGATTTCCTGGTACACCTGAAACTCCTATCGAGAGAGAAGATATAGATGACAATGAGACAATGCAGAAGGCAGTCCATTATGGTATTGCCACAGGTGCGTTAACTATTTTTGTTGTTAGAAGTGATGATCCGTTTATTAAGCAAAGGATGATTCAATATCAGTGACTTGATGAGGAGGATGTTGAACAGAATGTGGATGCTAGTAACGTTGACGGTGATAATGCTCATGATGATAATGCTGATGAAAATGTAGAGGATAAGGATGGTAATCATAATTTCTATGCTGAGGTTGATGACTATAACAGTGAGAGTTAAGATGATGGTAGGATAGATGTCGATGATAGCAAGTATAAGCAGTTTGAGATAGGTCAACAGTACAGAACCATCGACAGCTTTAAAAAGGTTGTGACTAAGTATGTTGTGAAGAACAAGAAGAATATTAGGTACAAGAAGACATATAGCAAGGTGTTCTGGCAGTTTGTGCTGAAAAGGATTGTCCTTGTAGGATTTATACGTCTATCAACAGCAGCTCCCCATAGAGTGGTTGTTAGATCGCTTCAAGAAGAGCATAATTGCACTTGGTGTTGGAAGGTGACTCTGCTTACGAATGCAAGAATAGCTGAGTTGTACATTGAAGAATTCAGAGAGAATCCAAACATTTCAGGAATGCAACTGCAGAACAAGCTCCTCAGGCGTAACATCAATGTACCTTGGATCAAATGTTCCCGATTGCTTGGGGCATTGTTGATGTCGTGAGTAAGGATAACTGATTATGGTTTTTTTAGCATCTCATTGATGACTTAGCCTTGGGATCAGAAAATGGGCTAACTTTAGCGAGTGATCAGCAGAAGGGTTTGATTGGAGCTGTGAAAATTCTGCTGCCATATGCTGAACACAGGATGTGTGCCAGACATGTTCACGCTTGCTGGAGGAAGAAACACTCGGGAAGTGAGCTGGTTGACTTATTTTGGGCTTATGCAGACTCATATTATCCATTAGCATTTGAAAGAAAATTGAAAGAGTTAAAGGAGTATGACCCGGTTGCACAAGCATATTTAAAGATAAACATTTGGGTTCCATAGACAAGGTAAGTCTGAATTATATTTATGTTATGTTGAGAAACATTTCATGTGCTTAATGCTGTTTTGTATATGTTTTCAGAGCTTATTTCTCTGGGTATTCCAATTGTGATGCAGTGGAAAACAACTTGAGCTAGTCTTTCAATACAGCTATTAGGATAGCTAGAACGAAGCCCATTGTGAAGATGCTTGAGATGATCAGAACGAGTGTTGTAGTGTCGTGTAACAAGAAACGATTAGAAGCTGAGAAATCAAGATCAGAAACACTCCAAGAGCAATTACTTTATTGATCAGCAGATTGACTTGGCGAAATATTGTATGCCTCTTCCTTGTGGACTTGGAAAGTATGAAGTAACCTATAGATATACTGAGAGGTATACTGTTCATCTTATAAATGAGGTCAATTGCAGCTACAGATTATTTCTGGTCAGTGGTATACCTTGTTCCCACATTTGTTCTGCGCTTAGGCTAGAGAAAAAGTCAGAACAAAATCCTAGGACCTTAGTTAGCAGCTGGTATACGACTGAAAATCTTAAAAGATGCTATGAGAGTCCTATGGGTCCTGTCCAAGGAATGAATTTGTTGAAGATAACCACTGATGAGATGGTTAGATCGCCGTTCTTTAAGAGTCCAGGAGGCAGACCACCAGAGAAGAAGCGAAAGAAAGAGAAGGGTGAGGAAGAAGCAGCAGAAGTGGGCAAAAGAGGGATCAAAATAGTAAGTAATGCTCTTTCTTATTTCTTAATGAGAATGATTTGCTTTGTGGTTAATAATGTGTTGTTATTATTGTGGAATTGTTTTTTGTTTCCAGCACTATGGCAACTGTGGTGAAGGTCACAACAAGACAAATGTAAATATGCTGCAAAAACAAAGCCTCCAAAAAAGTCTCCTTGTAGGCTGCGTGGGAGATCTATTGTAGATTATGCTCAGCAACCTGGATCTCTAGCTGTTTCAGCTTCAGCTTGGGATTCTGCTGAAGCTGCCACATCATCACAGCGTATTCAGAACTAAACTTGGAGGCCTTGGGGTGATGCTGAAGGTGGGTCTTTATCTCAGCCTGCTAGAGATTTTTCAAGTTTGTCCTCTGCACTGCCAAAAGGAAGCCAAGCAGGCCAGGCAAGTATCCACAGAAGGGAGCCTCGTCTTCACAGCCTTCTGGTGAAGCGATCAATGCTGGTCAAGCAATCAGGCCACAGAAGGGGGCCTCGTCTTCTCAGCCTACATATGACAAATGACCAACTACCATCCCACGAGTAAGTATTCTAAAACTAGTTGGTAACACCTGGTTTAACTATGTATGGTACACTAACACTTGTTTTAAATGTAGGAGGGTTATGATATATTCAGTAATACTGTAACAGGGGATGACTACATTCAGGTTGGAAGGTCTGTAATCGATATTAGTGACAACATAATTGTACCTAGAACACTCTACAATGCAAGAGAACGGAAGAAGCTTGATGTAGCTTGTGGTCATGGCCGTGCTAGTGGGTCATCAGAGCCGTGAAGGCTTGTCCGCATTTTGTGTTCCCTTTTGTGTTCTTGAAACTTGTTCCCTTTCGTGTTGTTGAACTTGTTATGTGTTTGAAGCTTGAACCTTGTTCCCTTTTCTGTTCTGAATTTGTAATATGTGAACCTGTTCTTATTCATCAAACAGAACAACAACAATATCCCGGAAATTATTCATGCACAGAACACTATAACGACAACAAAAGATTCATACAAATAATACGAAGAACATTATGATATATTTAGTTTCGAGTTACAAACAACGACACACTTACTTCAGAATCTAGCTACGCCCAAAAATAATAGCAACTAGCGATCACAACAACTCCACACATAATACTCTTTCAGAAAAGTACATCTCTTACCATTTTTTTAACTTCTATCTCACATCCTTGTATCTTGGTTTTCATTTACACTATGTCTTTCTCAAAGCAATTGACCACAGCTTCCAAAGTTCTTGTCTCAAGTTCTAAATTCATTACCATTTCCTACATGTATTCAATCTCCACTACCATTGACTCATCCGTCCATTTAAAAAAATGCTAGTTGTCTTTGCACAACATAAGAAAAAAAATTCATGTTACTCTTTCACATCATATTACTAAGAGGGAAGACAAATTCGAAAATCAGGTGTAATGTTTACCTTCACCGATCCTTTTGGGCAACAATAAAATAGTCTTCCCTGATTTTGAGCAGTTTTTGAAGTTCTTATCTAAGTAGGTTCTTCAGATCTACAAGCATAGGGTTGATAACTGTTATAAGAAAAATTTATAATTGAAAAACTCCATTATAACTTAAACATACCTAAAACAAAGTATTTCAATTAACACTGTCAATGAATTGTACCTGAATTTGTCGATGAAGACTTTCTATTCGACGAGGTCACCATTCTCAAATACCCTAGCTCTCTCTAAATTTCCCTAATTTTTCTGTGTTGAGCTCGATGAAGCAGACGACTTATATATCTTTTTTTATTTTTATTTTCTCTTTTCAACTAAACAAAACGGCGTTGTATTCTTTGTATTGGTTTTCAATTTTTTTGGTTTGATTTAGTTTGATTTGGTTTGGTTTCTCAACATAAATTACAAACAATATTGCAAACAACGACAATGAAAATTTTGAAATGGGATTACATATGTTCCAAGTTCTTACAAACAACAATATAGGAGACAACGACAACATCAAACTCAACCACCCTTTTCCGACAATGAAAATAAAAGGGTGGGGAGGTTAAGTTTATAGAAACTGGAGAGAATTCTACTTGATAAGCAAAACCATGAAGCGTACAAGGGCTATACCAATAGCTATCAGAAGGAGATTCTTCATCTCCTCCACAACCAAAGCAGTACTTTCAACTTCACCACTTACATCACGACTCTAGAGCTCCTCTAGCACCATCCTCATGTCTTCATACTTCTCTCTAGCTTGTTGGGCAAGAATATGGAGACGGAAAACTTCATCACGACTGCGGTTAACATTAGCCCACATCTTACGAAGATCCACAAGGTCCTTTTTTTCATCATGGGTGATTAAACCAACCTTATCTTGGAGCTCTTGGAGCTCTTCTTTCTCCATCTTAATTTGTCTAAACTCCTCCATGGCCGCCTCTTCCCACCACTTTCAGAAATGACAGCCACCAACTTTATTTCAAATTTAAAATTAATTAATACAGTTAAATTATATTAAATTATTATTATTAAATTGATGAGAGACTTATGTGAGTCTTTCACCAATACAGATGGTCTAAACTCTCCAAATAACAATCATTGGAGTTTTTTTTGTCTTGGCAGTCTTTTATTTTGTGTCATTGGACGCTGTTCTCTAGTCGATGGAAACTTTTTAACTGTCCAATTTCCCTTCTTTTTGACTAGATTTAGAGGTATAATCTGCACTTCTTTGATGTAATCTGGGATATTCCATTCAGACCTATCCGATACTCTATAAATTATCCTGTAATACGCCATTGCTCACAATTCCGTTCAATAATATTTTGAACACAAATCATCTACATAGTAATTGGATATCACCACTGGTTTGCAAATCAATGAAAATGGCAAGTGCGTACACACAAGGAAACCTTTCAATATTAAAGAATCTGTAACTGCACCTTTCGAACAGCAAGTTCACCAAATAATACTTTCCATCACTATCGATGATATTGTATTTAAGCTCGAAACTGTTTAGCTCTATCACAGTTAATTTCTTAGAAACAATATGTAAATCGTGCAAGTAGTTCTCCACTAAAAGCACCAGTTTATTATCAATCAATCCAGACACGGCCTCCTTCTGATGTTCATTAAACCAATCAAGAATTTTTTTAATGATTGCATCAAGCATGGGTAGGAAGCAGTTCCTTCGTGCATCCTTAAAAAGAACGTTCAAAGATTCCACACAGTTGTTTGTATCTATGTTGTATCTTTCACCTCAAAAACAACTCCTTGCCCATTTTTCTTTCTTGGTACTGTCCTCCAGATAGTTGGCCGCAGAAGGATATCTCGTCTTAAAAAAACTATAAGCACAGTTGAACTTAGCCATCATGTAAAGCTTGATGCACTCCATAAATCTCCATGCAGATATGTCTTTGTTGACGTTAGAAGCATGACTTCTCACATTTTGGGACAAGTTCCATACACAATACCCATGATGAGCTTTAAGATACACATTAGCTATGGCGTTGATGAAGCTTGCATTTCTGTCACTCATAAATACCAATTCGGATGAGTCCCTAATAACAGTTTTCAACATCTCGAAAACCTGGTCCAACTAGCATTATTCTCGCCATCGAGTACACTAAACACTATGGGGATAATGATGATGATTATGATCTTGAGCTGAGGTAAAAACTAGTACACTGCCATATCTGTTCTTGAGAAAAGTTGCATCCACAATTATCACTTTCCTCATGACTCGATACCCTTCAATGCTTACTCTGAAGTGTATGATTAAGTAATTGAATTTTCCTTCTCATCTAATTTCACCCTTGTTATTGTACCATAATTGACCTCCTCTAACATGTACAAATAACAATACATTATCGTGTAGTTTTCTTCCAGACTACCACACAAATCAGAAACAACTTGATTTTTCCCTCTCAACGCTGCAGAGTATGATATCGTCACACAAAGTTTTGTCTTAATAAGATCCATGATAATTTTAGGGCTTTGATTTTCCATTTATCCCTGATAATCGTCATGTAAAAGGAATGCAACTAATCATGAATTGCCTTCCCTTTTCACGTTGCTTATACTTTGACACTAGGCTGAGAGCATGTATGCCTCTTTGTGTACCTTCTAATCGAGAAAATATCTGTCTCTGGAATCCTTGCAGCTCATAAACCCCATTGCAGCTTTCTTGAGAACATTGTTGCACTCATCACGTCTTATCCAACTTTTTAATAACATAACCAAACCAGTTAACAAATGCGGCTCTATCCACCAACTATTGCAGTGCCATCCTATTCGGAAATTATTAATGCACATTCACACCCAAACCGTCTTCTCGTGCTTCTATAAACTGACTAGATTCTACAACCGGTGGAAGATCAACATATTCATTACGCATACCTGATCTATTTATACAGTTATCCACACTTTCATCATCCTCTTTCGCCTCATGTTGTTGTTATGCTTGTTTTTTTATCTATGTACAGAGTAATGGCATTATAACTTTTGCCCGCTCTAAATAGTTGCTCAAGCAGTTTCGATATAGTGATGATCTACACATACAAAAGATATTTACGGTTCTATTTAACAATGGACCTCAGATAAATAGACAGGTCCTCAGTATCAGAAATAATACACTTTTCATCATATCCCACCACTAGTGGAATGTAACTCAATTTAACCTTACTTTCATATAATGCAAGCTTCTTGTATATCTTAGCTTCTATCATCGACAAAGTTATGTCTTCCACTGATGTCTTTAATATTAAATTATAAATAAGATTTTGGCATTTATAATATACGATGACATTGTTGCTCATTGTATCCTGCCAAAACAATACAAAAACACTCAATCAGTAATATTAGTTATCCACAATTATACCTTCTCTTTACTCAATAATACCAGTCGCACCAAGTTTTACTCAATAAATCATGATTTTCAGTAATACCAGTTTTACTAGTTATACTTTATTTACCAGTAAAACTAGTTTTACCTAGTTCTCTTATACCAAGAACTCAAATTGGATTGTTTCAGGCTCTAATCTACTTATAATTTAATATGATATAACCTCTGAAATCTATTTGTTACCAATTTAAATTCCTAATCAACACATATATCATGCTAAAACACCGAATGTATATACCAAAATGAGATGAAATATATCCGTCGATTTGCAATTCCACAAAATGCAGCACTACTCTTAGGTTCAAGAACAAATCTGGATTTTCAAGCTCATTGCTGTTCGAGGAAGGCAAACACAAGAAGTGTTCAACGAATAAACGGTGACGATGGAGAGTCCACGGCGGCAGCGAAGATACAACAATGATATAGAGCTTAAGCTTGAGTTTTTGTTTCTTTTATTTTTCTTTTGCAGTTTGTTTTATTTTTCTTTTTCAATAAAATTAAATTATTGGATAAAAATGTCTTTCTACATTTAATGGGATGTTCTAGATTAATATGAGGTATAGTAGAATTGCTTTAGAGAAAAAGAGGCATTTCAGATGATGGCTCACTCCCCTCCCCCCTTTCATTTTCTCCGCTTAGACTTTCTGGATTCTCACCA